GGGATATATAGTCGCGTCCATGTCGTCAACTGTAAACTATCATTAAACTATCATTAATAATTATGTGTTTTTATTATAATTTAAATTCATATTTTTAATAACTTAATTGTACAAATTATATATATATAATTATGTATTTTTATTATAATTTAAATTCATATTTTTAATATCTTAATTGTCCAAATTATATATATATATATATAATTATGTGTTTTTATTATAATTTAAATTCATATGTTTTAATAACTTAATTGTACAAATTATATATATATATATATGGATTTTTATACAATTATTAACTTAATTGTACAAAGTTTGCATTTTCAACAACGAGTATAAGATACTTAAACAAAAGGAATTCTAAGCTAAAATACTACACATTACTACGCTACAAGGCTCTAAATTTTACTGCGCTATAAGGGTCTACGTTTTACTACGCTAAAAAGGTCTGGATTTTACTACGCTAAAAAATAATCTAAACTAACCATAAACAACAAATAAATTTAATTGCAAATAAAATATAAAATGGCATGAAAACACACACATATATATATATCAGGATATTAACAGACAAATTTATTTTACTAATTTATATTTTTTTTAGAAAAATACTAATATTAAATTCGGATAAATTTAACATGCTAGTTTTGAAAAAAAAACACAAACCGAAATAGAACACATACAAATCAAATAATATGCATTATTATAAATGTTTCAACTTAAAATAAATCGAAATACCTCGATTTGGAATTTTGGCAAAGCAAAATGATTGAAATTTTGACTCCGGAGGTGTGAATCAACAATAACACGAAGCTCTACTCGAATGTGGGACCCTTTTTCTTCTAGTTTTATGTGTCGGGGGGACCCAAAAGAATGGCAGAAACGGGGTCTGGGGTGGGGGACCAAGAAGAGATGGGGGTTTAAAAAAATGGAGTATGAATCGACATGGAAGACGGAGGGGTTTAAAATATCTATGTATAGCGCTACTATACCTGGCATTATACATTAATGATGTATGTATAGCGTCAGGTATTGTGGCGTTATACCTGGGCGTGTCAGATTTTACAGTATAGCGCCACAATATCTGGCGTTATACATTAACGGTGTCGTTATTGTTAGTGTATAGCGCCAGGTATTATGGTGCTATATATAAAAATATAATTTTTTTTACCACTTATTTATGTAGTTTGAGTCCAAAAGAACTACACCGGACTCTATATCTAGCACATGCATTTATCATGTAGAGCGCCAAATGAGGAATGAGGTAATATACACACCAAATACTGTTAAGGGTATGTCCATGTCAAAGACTGTTAAGGGTAGAGTATGAAGTGAAACAAATAACAAATCTAGGAAAGCGCGCCCCTCTTCTTCCTACAGCAGTCACAGTCACAGTCCCTGCACATCTCTCATCACTGTCTACTCTTTATAAGACTCTAACTTTCTTCACGAAAAGCTTGTGATTCCTTTTTCCTCGAGCAAAAGCGATTCCTAAAAACTAAGATAGTACTCCTCTTAACATTTTACGGGTCACATCGAAATTTTGTATGGACAAATTCACTCGTCCCCTCCTACCTTGGCCATGATCAATCGCATGTTTGGCCAAGCTTTTCTGGTGTTTATTTTTTTTTTCTTTTTTTAAAAGTATTTTTAGTAGAGGTAGAAGCAGTTTCGGAAAAGCTGAAAGAAATTTTTTTTTGAAAAGTATTTTTGAAAAAATACATTAAAAAATATTTTTGCAGCTCAAAAATGTTTTACAGCAAATTAATTCTCACAAAAAATACTTAATTAAAATAAAATTAATTTTAGAAGATTGGCCAAAATGTGGTTCACAACACAACAACATGCCGTAATTACCACTCTAAGTTATTGTTACGCTCTTTGATTTAGAATTCCTTCTTTTTTTCAAATAAATATTCCTTTCATTTTAAACAGAATTAACCTTTTACTACTTAGGGAATTAAACAAATTTTTTTATATTTTTAAAAATAATCATAAATGTATTAAATTATTAACTATTATAACTTATGCTTTTTTTACATAGTTTTTAAACATATAAATTTTATTTCAAAGAATTTAAGGAATTTATATCCGAATTTGCTCCAAAAATTAATTAATTGAACTGTTATACACCGAAAAAGTCCAAACAATTGAAATAAAAGGATAATAAATAGTGCACATACAGGTGTGCCCAGTTAAAATGAACGGGAACCATTAAAGACTCTTTCAAATTCAAGTAGAGAGACAAAGTGATAAATAAATGATCGATCGAGTACCTATACCAAATTATAAACATATATGTAGTAAAATAATTAAAATGCACAGTCGAGTATCACTGTTATTAAAAACAAAACAAGAAAACAGAAAATGAATAGTGCAAAACCAAGTGGTTAGGATTAGGCGAATGCTTACGGCTCACGCCATGAATATTTGGGAATTGGATGTTGTCCGGTGCCTAACCCTAAGCTCATATACTTCTCACTTTTCAACGGCCTGCTTACTAAAGGTTGAAACGTTGTCATCTTTGCCTTTTCCCTCCTTTTTTTTGCACAATAATACAAATATAAAGAGTTAAATCAAGGGTATGTAATAAACAGATTGTTTTTTTCAAAAGTCTTTTCTTTTCTGGGAATTTTATCTGGTAAAGTACATTAAAGACTCCTCCATCCGTTACACTAACCTTTGAAACCTACCTCACCAAATCATGGGTCCATGTTAGCAATGTACATCTAAACCGGGCCTAGCTCACTCACTAAACCTGCTCTATTTTTTCCCTCCACTCCGGTTCTCTTTTTTTTTTCCATCATCTAAAATACCTTTCTTTCCTAACTAAAAATAAAATTCCCTACACTGCAAACACCTTTTTTAATAATTAAAATATCTTCAAAAACTCTGAACCGGCTGAGCTGAACCGCTTTCTTCAAACTCCTTCTTTCGCCGCATCTCCAAAACTTTCCGGTGATTGTTCGAATGCAACTCGCTAGAAAACGTTGGGCTGCAAGCCGGCCGGTATTCCGGAAGCAACCGACCGGACTTGAAGCGAACCCCACAGGCGTTACAAAGCGTTTTCGCACCCATTGGACCGGCCCGCCACTGTGGGGTTTTTTGAACCCCACAATGACTACACCGCCGCGGTTGCTGAGGCCCATTTCCACCTTGAACCGCCGGTTTCCTCTTTGGTTTCTTAGCTAGCGGTTTACCTGGTGACTCAGCAGTGTGAACCGGTATTTGGTAAAGCACCCAATTGGAAGGAGATGAGGACATGGTTGTGGTGGAGGAAGACGAACACGAAGAGGAAGCTGACTCGGTCAATGAACCTGAACCGGCTGGCCAAACTCTAACGTTAGTCCTCCCACGCTTGGTTCTGGCCTTGGTTTGAACAGGAGTGATGAAACATGACTTCTCTTGAACCGGAATTTCACCGTCCTCCGACTGGTTCACGACAGGCTTGACCGGTAGTTTTCCGGCAGGATAAGTGAGTGAGTATTCAGAAAACGAGTCTTCAACAAAATGAGACAGCCATTCAAGGCTATCCAAGTCATCCGCCTGTTAAAAACCGTTCTTTACTCTTCAGTTGGAAAACACTTCAAATTTTAAAAAAAAAAAACCAAACTTTTCAACAGAAACGTAAGAGGGGTGGGAAAGGACTTACCGGAACAATGAGTTCACTCCCAGGAAGAGAATCAAAATCTTCTTTTGCAGGGGGGGAAACGGTGTCGTTTTCCTTCTCAGCTTCTTTGTCCTCAAGTGGTTTTTGGGGCGAAACAGAAACTGAAACGGAACAAATTTTGTGAACAGCGTTATCTTCTCCCTTTTCTTCTTCTCCTTGGTCTTCAACGAAGCCATTGGAAAAGTCAAGGAGGTCGTCAACGAAAAAGTCGTCGCCGGAGACAACATTTTGACCGTTTCCGTTGGCCCACAAGTCATCCCCATAGGCTTGTTGGTGAGTCGTTTTCAACGCTGCCTCAGACATAAAACTGCTTTTCAACGCCCCTTCCACACAGTCCATTCCCTATTGAAAAAACATAACAGTTACAAAATCAAATTCATTTCACAACAAGAAAGATTAAAAAAAATAAGAACTTTGGGGTTTAAGAAAGAAGAAAAGCATATACCTGGTCAGAAGGCGAATGAGAAAGAGGTGAAGGAGAGGAAAAAGAAGGCGGAGGAAGAGGATGAGGAGATAGGGAAGAAGAGAAGGTAAAAGGGTTGAAAGGGGAGAGAAAAGAGTGGTGTTGAGTTCGGTAAAGCATTGAATAAGAGACAGATAGGGGGAAACACACACACAAATATTTTTTGCCTTCTTCCTTTAAACTTCTCCCTAATAATTTTTTTTCCAAACCAAAACCCCTTTTATCTTTTTATTTGTGCTTTTTCTTTTCTTGTACTTTTCTGTGGGGGTTTCATTTCAATACTAGTACTTGAGTATTTATAAGTCAGTTTCTAATGGCAAATTTAATACATTGACTTATTTTGTAAGATTACATACTAATAATTCAATTCTTCCCATCCATAATATTTTATGTAATTTGGGGCCACTGCAAATTTATACTACCTTTTACTGGTGGGAAGTTCAAAATTTAAACAAATTTGCTTTTCTAATTCTTACGTTTAGTACTCAAGTTTACTAAAATGACAAAAGCGACCGAACTCTCGCAAAAAAAAATTCCTTAATTTCTCATTTAAGTCCTAATTAAAAAATATTACTAGTTGGTAACATTTCTCTTTTTCGATTGATCTGCTTAATTTTATATTTGCCTTGCAATTTAGGTTAGATGGGTTCTTACTATGTGAAAATACTCTTCATATTAATGAGTTTGCTTTTTTACTTTTTTAACTTCATACGAAAATATATTCGATGCTACTACTTAACGTTGTAATCTTTTATTTCTCGCGAAAATTTCTATTAACATAACTCCGTACTTTAATATAGTTGTTCGAAGAATTTTAACCAAAGGATGAGTTAATTAATGAAGTAGATTTAGGGTTATTTCAAAGGATTAAAAACCCCCAATATCATAAACCCTCTATTTTTTTACATTTCCTACATGAATGGAGTGTAGTCCAACCAAACCAAAGACCTAACAAATTTTGAAAAAAAGATAGGCCATGAAATGAAACGAAACTGCTACTAAAAGAAAATTGTTCTTTTCTTTTAGGGGGTGAAACTTTTCTTCTTTTGGAAGAATGGCCCCATCTCTTTTGACTAATTACGTAAGCTTATCTTAGATATCGCTTTATTCGGCGCTCTTAATGGCAATTTACCATTCGATTTGCTTTCCCGCTCTTTACACTTTTCTAATTTGCTACGGAAAACTTCATTAATTCCTTTCCATCTAAAGGAAAAAATACTCAATAATTACCTTCCAACCTTCTTGCAATTCACTACAGATTCCCTAAATAATAATCTGATTTCCAACTAAAATCAGTTACACTGCTTATTACCAAAATCCAGCTTGCTTTTTTGAAATAAAAGGTCCAAGTTGATTTAATTTACTACTAATTATTTAATAAATGTTAATTGTTGCCTTTTAAAATGTAAAATTAGATCGTAAATTTAAGTGATTCTTTTTTATTGCAATTTAAGAGGGAAAAGCCATTACAACTTTGAGTTTGAGATGAGGAAGATATATGAGTGAAATCACTTCGCATGCATGTATTGCCCATGAAAGATGGTTGTTATTTGCACGTAAAGTATAGCAGTGACCTAATTAACGACTTTGTGTTTGAGAGGCTCGTGTAATGCAAGATTTCAATTGCTGATGTTCATTGCATAGTGGGAAATTAAAGTTACAATAAAATCCAAACAATGTGACCAAAATTATACGTTGTCGGTTTCCTTTTTCTTTCCGTTATATTTTAGGTGCCAAGCGAATTTATACTTTCATATTGTCAAACAATTTTTGGTAAATCACTGATCGCGCCCAACTCTAATCCTAAAAAGGATAAGCGATCGCTGCAAATATAATCTGATCTAAAAGTCCGGAGTCGAATCCCACAGAAAATTAACACTTAGCTATATCTGTTTAATATCACTAAAAAGACAAGTTTGAATAATTTTCTAAATTATAAAGATTGAGATTTATATTTCTAACTAATTAACTAGCAAATACTAGAAAACGGTAAAATTATCAACTAACGAGACAAATGGTTGGAGACTAAATTAAGGAGGTCTAGAGTTATGATTTCCCCAATTGTCGGAATCCTTCTAGCTAGTTCCCTACAATTTTTTCAATGTATTCTCTACTGATCATGAGCATTTTAAATGTCGTAGTTCTCTCTCGAGCAACTGCAACAATTTACTAGATATATTCTCTCGAACTACGCTAGTTGGCTTTATCTAACCGCTCATTATGAACACGTCAAGGCTTTGTTATTTCTTAACCTACCTTTAAACCCGCTGTATTGATTTCTCACATACGTTAGGAGTGACGTTGTTCAACAACCACCTAAATATGTACTCTCTCTCGAGCACTACACACTAAATAGGCACAGTCAATTGATGATCATTCAATCAACAACAACAAACACGTAGTTGAATAAGTAGAGAAATCCAACGGCTCAATTATATAAAAACATAATAAGAATTTATCCTACAAAAGGTTCTATCAAAACCCTAGATAACAAATTAGCTATTCATAATAGTATGTAAAAATGCAATGCTAAAAGGCATAACAAACAATGAAAAAAAAGGAAGAGGAAGGAAAAACTCGTAGAAGAATTCTTCGCCTTGCTCCTATTGTATCTCTGCCTCCTTAGGTCGAATCTGTGTCAAAAATTGGTCTTCTCCCCTCCTTAGGTCTAAATTATGTCAAAAGTATATCTCCTCCTTCAAAAATATCGTTTTTCCATGTATATATACCAAGTAGGGTCGGGCCCAAACAATTATAACTTCTCCTATGCGAAAAAGGATAATTTTTTCAGGTCTGGACGGCCGCGGCCCGAGCGCGGTACGAACGCGGTACATTGCAAGGCTACTGTTTTTGTCCGCGTCAGGTCCGTGATCGCGGTGTCGACCGCGTTTTCCACCCTGTTCCGTTTGGAATTTGTAAAAACGTAAAACTAGAAAATTGTAGTCATTTGAGTTAGCTTTTCAACCATATATTGTGGAGCCCAAATGGAATTTTGATAAAAAAGTTATGTTCATTTTACTAGATAGTGCATAATATACCTACTCGATTCTTCGTTTTGTTGCTCTATCATCTGTCGATCCCCGAATACGATCCCGGCTTAATTCCTTGGGCTTTTACTCAGACTTCAAAGCTTCAAATCACTTGAATTCATTCCATAACATTTACATAGCTCGGAATCACTCCTACAAGGCATAAAACACACAATTAGTGCAAGACACTAGCGATTAAAGCTCAAACTCAATTAAAGTGCAGTAAATTTGAGTGTAATAAGCGACTAAAATACGTAATTATAACCTATCATCAATCACCTTGGTGTCTAAAATAGTGCAATTCCTGATATTGAACATCACTTTCTTCACTCCTCCTGTAGCATATTTTCTTTGTTAAAATATGAGTGCTTTTCAAATTTTAGTGGGTACGTAGCAAAGCAAAGAGACCAAGGAATGAAAGAAAGCATAATGTGTTTGGCACTTTTAAGAACTTAAAATTAAAAAAATGTTACTTTGATCAAATAGGCTTATATATATGGGATAACATGTACACATTTTAGATATTGCCAATTCCTTACTGCGCTTAATTAGCTAGCCAGTAATATTGTTAAATTTTCTTGATCCTGAATACCAAAAACACATTTGACACTTGGCAGTTTTGAAAATTCTTTTGCTAATTCAATGAACAATTAAAACACATTTGAACAATTGTATATGTAGCGTTTTCCCCTTCATGGGATTTATCTTGATTTAACTTTTTCTCACCCTCTCTCGATCGCTACTTCTTCTGATGAGTCATTAAGCTCAAAAAATTACTAGCATTGCATGTTGATTCTTATGCTATTCTTTGTTGTTGTTGTATTGATACATCAATGTTGTTCTTGGGATATAGGGTATTAAAGTGTATACAATAGAAGTATAAGGAGTCTTTGAATTAGTTACAATATCAGTTAAGTAGTTAGTTGAGTTATTTGACAGTTGGCTATGTGCTGTCAGTTAGTTAGTGCATATTAGCACTATAAGACATTGTATTGAACGACCTCTCTCTTAGACAATACGGATTGAACTTTTCTTCCTCTTCATTTCTCTGTTTCTCTCGTTAGCTAGAATCTAACATGGTATTAGAGCAAACATTGCAAGGACTGTAATCCCAATCGATTTTCAGCGAGATTCAAGTTTTTCTGCCAAAGTTCAGAGCTAAGGAATTCTTCGATTTCGAGCTCAATTTCTAACAGCCATGGCAGATAATTAAGTCAGTACACTAGATCATAATCATCCACTATTTTCCCAAATTTCAGATGCTCCAGGACTCGTCTTAATTCCTCTCAAGCTCACCGGTCCAGAAAACTATGCATTGTGGAGCAGGGCGATGAAATTAGCACTCAAGGGAAAGAGCAAGCTTGGATTTGTGGATGGATCCTATGTGAAAAGCATGTATCGAGGCGAATTAAGAGAGCAATGGGAGGAATACAACGCAATTGTTCTCTCATGGATTAGTAGTACCGTTTCTAATGAATTGATGCTTAGCATCGTGTATGCATCAAATGCAAAGAAGGTGTGGGCTGATTTTCAGGAGAGATTTGATAGGTCAAATCTAACAAGAATTTATCATCTTAGGATTGCTATTGTGACTTTGAGACAGGGAACTGACTCGGTTACTAGTTAATATTCTAAAATGAAGGATCTATGGGATGAATTAGATGTTATATCGCCTCTAGCCTCATGTGATTGTGAAGAATCCAGACCTTCTATAGAGCTTTTGAAGAACATACGTCTATTGTAGTTTCTCATGGGATTGAACGAAATCTATGGTAATATTCGAAGTAATGTTTTGGCTAAAAGACCTATAATCACTGTGAATGAAACCTATGCAATAGTCACACAAGAAGAAAGCCAAAGAACCTTGGGGTCACAGATACATTAAAGGATCCACTCACAATGATGGCAGGAAAGAATCATGAATTAAGACCTAAGAGGCCAGGATTAGTATGTGATTATTGTGGTTATAAAGGACACCTCAAGAAAAATTCTTACAAGATAGTGGGGTATCCACCAGATTTCAAAAGCAAGAAGAAGAGTCAAAACTCAGGAGGCAGGACCTATGTGAACATTGCAACCACCAGTGAGGAAAAGAAGGCACCTATGCTGCCAACACAAGAAAATTTCTTTACTGAGGACTAACACAAACAGTTGGTGGATTTATTGCAGAATACTACCACAAATTGATTGTTCCACAAAAATTGCAGGTATTATCA